GCAGGCAGGAAGCAGGCAGGGGGCAGGCAGGAAGCAGGCAGGGGGCAGGCAGGCTCGTCCCTCGCTCTTGGGCTCTTCTGGGCTGCTCTCGGCCCGGGGAGAGGAGCCCCCAGACCGGGGTCTCCAAGCGGAGCCGGGTCCGGGCTGGGGTGCGGGTGTCCCTTTGGGATCACCCTGGTGTCAGTCGTGGCGTGGGGGGTCTGGAGCCGTTGGGGCTCTGCAGCTCTGCCCTGCCCGAGGTCCTGCCCGTCAAGACCCCCGTGCAGCCGCTTTGTCTCTTTCTGCCAGAGGCTGTTCTCCCTCCGCGAATGCCCTTCTCCAGCGTGGTGAAACCCGTTCCTCCTCCCTCGCTCTCCCCTCGCCGTCCTGGCTGGTGCAGTCATTTGTCCTCCCAGCCTTGTGCCGCAGCGTGGGCTGGCTCTGCTGTCCCACCACCGCTGTCCCTCAGCCCCGGCGTGGCCGTCCCCAGGCAGGGGGGTATCCTGCACCATCAGCGATCGCAGGCTTACTGCGTGCCGTGCCAGTCCCTCCTCTGGCCTCTCTGCCGGCGGTCCCAGAGCTTCTCTCCTCTGTCAGCATCCATCCCTGGGCAAGTGACAGTCCTGCCGTGGCTGATGGATGAGCCCCGTGTAGGGGAGGTGGCAGCCGGTCCAGGAGGGGCTGTTTGCCCACTGCTCGGCGGAGGGGACGGCACGCCGGCGGTGCAGGACCGGGTGTCCTTCACCCTGTCGGGTGCTGCTTCAGAGCTGTCAGTCCTGCAGTCAGTCGGGCTCCTCCGCTCGCAGCACGATGCCGGCAGAGCAGCCCGCGGCGCGATGAGCGTGGCGCTTCCCCCTGCCCCGGCGAAGGGCTCTGTCCGTGCTGGCAGAGGAGCTTGGCGGACCCCTGCCCAAGGCAGTCTTGAGGGGGCTGTTTTGGGACCCCTCTCCCTGCCCAGCCCTGCGCACAGTCCATTTTGGAAAGGGGCTGCAGGGTTGGCTGTACCCCGCCGCAGTCCGCTCAGTCACGGCAGGGCTGGGGCCGGGGGGCTGCAGTGGGGAGCGCTGCTCGGGGGCGCTGGGGGAGGGCCCGGGTCCTCTGCGTCAGTGTCTCCTGTCTGGTCCCTGCAGGAGCCTGGGGAGAGCTACCTGGAGAAGGCTGAGAAGATGTACGCACAGATGTACTCGACAAGGGAAAAGGTGAGAGCTGCTCCGAGACGGGGGAATCTCGTCCTTCTGGTGCAGACCCCCCGTGGGGTCCTCTCGTCAGCTGAACCTGTTCTCAGGGCCCCGCGCAAGTTGGAGACAGGGAGGAACGAGCCCCGGAATTTGCTGATGGTGTAGAGAGGAGGGACTGCGGTTTGAGTAGGAGATGGAGGAGAGAGAGGACGAAAGGGTTTGGGATTTGTTGGGGGGAGCGCCAGCCTCCACTCGCCAGAGGTGAGCGCCGCGTGCCTGACGCTTTTCTGCTGTGTTTTTCTCTCGCAGAACCTGGTGGGAGACCAGGAGCATCTGACGATCCAGGTGAGCGAGCTGGAAGAGGAGGTGAGCACCCTCCGGAAAATCAACAAGAACCTCTTTGACTTCTCCGCTCGCATCATCACCAAACCAGCCAAATGAAGAGGCACCCCCTGCCCTCGCGCCCCTCTGCCTCTCCCTGCCCAGCGCCTGGGGAAGAACCAGCCCGCCCTCGGGCACCTGCACACGCAGACGTGCAAGCACGCCTGGCTCGCGGCCTCGCCAGCGCCTGTCACGCGGCACACGCCGGAGCGTTTGCCTGCCGGGTCTGGCGCCCGTTCCACGACACGGGACTGAGACGAGCGCGGGGGCTGCAGGGCTGCTGCGTGCGGGACAACACAGGGACCGTTTTCACCCCGATTCGCTGCTCGGTGCCGGCGGGGGCAGACTCGGAGCGGCCGGCTGCGGGAGGAGCATCGCCGGCGTCGAGGGAGGGGTTCAGGACGCAGCTCCTGCTCTTTCCCCGTCTCTTCCCCTGGCCCTTTTTTGTTTCTTTTTTGTTACTTGACCCTGCAGTGCAGACAGAAAAGTGTTTTTTCTCTTAATACCGGTTTGAGATTGGATTTTGGAGACCCCTTCCGCCCATCCAAATGCTACGCGGGATCCCGCTGTGCATCCCGCTGCGGGCTTGTTCCGCTCTCGTGACAGCGGGGGCTGAGCAGCTCCTGCGCCTGGGGGGTGCCCGGGGGCAGCGGAGGTGCTGCCCGGGGACAGGCGGGGGGTCCCTGGGCTCCCAGGCCTGAAGGCAGGACGCCCGCAACGCCCCATCCACCCTCCTGGTCCGGCGGCGGGAGGGTGGGGGCTGGGGGTGTCCCTGGGCTCAGCGTGCGGGTGGTGGTTTTGGGGTGTGGGGCTGACTCCTTCGGAGAGGGGCGGAGGGGTCAGCAAGGTGCTATTTCCAATCTCGCAAGTTGACAATTTATATATATTTGGATCCAGCTACTTTGTTTTCACGGTGTTCTGGGGAATCGGCCTTTTGTATTGTCACGAGCATGGCAGCGGGGGTTGTGGGTTTTGTTTAGGTTTATTTTTTACATAAAAGATTTGTTTTTTATAGTGAGAGATGCCTGAGGTTTTTCTTCGACTCCCCGCTGGTGGCCACAGATCTCAATAACCCACCAGCGCTTCCCGGGCAGCGCTGTCAGTGATTTCTTGTCCGAGGGAAGCTGCGCTGCTCGGTCGTCTCTGCCCCGCGGGTCCCTCCCTGTCCCCAGGAGGTTTCACCTCCCATCCCGCAGGGACGGGGGGTCCGGGATCTCGGGGTCCACAGCCATCCCTGTGCCCACCCACCGCACCCTCCTGTTTAATACACCAGAAGTAAGCGCAGTTGATTTAAAGTGCACTTTAATAACGCAAGCGTCCGTGCAGCCCGTGCTCCTGCCAGCTTGCTTAGATAATGCTTTTAGCTTAATAAGCGGCGTTTCGCTCTGCTCCCGCTGCCCACCTTCCTCCTGACGCTTCCCATCAACATCACTCGCCCGCAGCGCAGAGTGCCAGCCCGAGCCGGGGGCTGCTCTGGGGGCTGCGGTGGGAGCGTGTTCCCCCCGCAGGGAGAGCCCCGAGTCCCCCCGGGAGGGCGGCAGCCTGTACCCCACCAAGCCCAGACCCCAGTCCACCCTCCCAGTCGTGCCACAGTCTTTCCCAGTCCTTTCCAGTGGGGTTCGTGTCGGGGCACGGCTCGGACAGGGCTGTCCTGTGAGCCCCCTCCTGTGCTGCGCCCGGGGAGAGGCTGCGGTTTGGGGGGCTA